GATGGTGTCTGTGTGTGTGGGTGTGTGTCTGCACACGTGCAGGATGTCTGTGTGCTTGAGCACCAGCTCTGGCTCGTATCCTCAGGCAGGGCAGCAGCCCCTGAGAAGCAGGCGAGTGCTGGTGTGCAGTCGATCAGGAAAGGGAGGGCTGCTGTCCTTCCCTCACTGGGTCTGAGCACCTCACCTCACCTCACCTTACACCTGAAGAAGGCTCCACAGCCGAAACGTTATGTTTTCTTTCTTCTTTTTTTCAGCAGGAATAAACCTATTACTTGTTCCTTTGCAGCCTACGCATGCTGACGCAGCTGCCCACCTGAACATATATCTGGTAGCCTTTGATTAAAAGGATGAATGTAGATCGCTGAGCATTTGATGTGCATCCTTTTGTGGCTGAACGCAGAATGGTATTTCTATTTAATTAAAAGCAAAGACAAAGTCTTTGATCTATTCATTTTAAATTAAAATCTAGAGGCTCATTAAATAAAGTACTCACCTCCTCTCTTATCTTTCTACAGCACAGAATCCCAGGAATGCATTGCCTCTTTATTCGAACTTCTCTCAATGTTTACTTTCAGTCCCGTTCTGGAGTACAGTGTCCCAGGCCCCCTGTGTGTGTCTGGGGCTCTGTAGGGGGGTCCCTGTAGAGGACAGTAGCCCAGAGTGAGCATTAGAACGTGACACCTGCCACAGAGTTAGAAGTGAATTTGAGTACTACCTTCATGTAACATGCTGTAATTTACAGAATTACCTCCATCACCTTTGTCATAAAGACGTTAATGGGGTGATCAGCAGTGTCACAGGACTGGGTGACAGAGGTGACCGCGAGTGGGGCTGAGTTTTTCACGGACCTCTGCGGGCTCCTGGACATGCAACGCCCTTGCTAACCTTCTGCACCCGATTTGAACATGGAACACCATCACGGACACGGACACAGGGCCTGGGCAGCGGAAGAGTCTGCCGCTGGCTGGCAGGGGTCCGAGGCGCACAGCGTTACTGAGGGAGCCCCCCGCTGGGGTACCATGCAGACCCCAGCTCTGGTGGCAGGAAGCTCCTGCTGTTGCTGCAACACGCCAATCCCCCTCCGGGGCCGCAGGACAGGCACAGCCCAGCGGTGTGAGAGTGTGAGAGTGTGAGAATGATCCGGCGCACCTCGGTCTCACCCCGGTCTCACCTCAGCGCTCGGTCTCTGTCACAAAGGAAGGGTTCAGAATAACGAGGGGGGGCACTATTACAGCTCTTTCCCGGCGCAGAAGGCTTCAGTGCTTGTGAAACATTATTATTTGATTTGATTTGAGCTCATTTTTCCTGCCTGCCTGTGATTTCAGTGACAGGAGCCCGGGAGTGTGAAGGGGGACGGCAGGAGACGTGACGAATCCTCATTCCGGAAGGAGCCTGCGCTGACAGCCTGCTCCTCTCCCCTGTGCTCCTGCCACCATGGCCAGAGACCACTGCGCCTCCCATCAGCTCCCGCTCCACGCTCTGGGCCTTAATGAGAGACGTGGCCGCGCTTTCATTTCAAAGGGACAGTTGTCACCTGTTTGTTTGTACTGTTACCATGGAAGCACAGCTTCAGCTTCTGGGTGGTCCCCTGTCTTGCTTCCAAGATCTTCACTTTCTTAATATCCCCAAAGCAGCCTGCATATTAATTCAGGCTTCGTTCCAGGCGAGCTCGGATTCCTAACGGAGAGCCAGTGGGCCTGGTCTGGTTCTGGGTCCGAGTCCTGGTTCTGTCTCCTGCAGCGTGCCACACAGGACAGCAGGACACCGGATCTGAGGCTGTCCTGCAGTATAAGTCAGTCTGTGTAAGAGCCCCTGTTGAATTCTGCTGTTCGAGACATTTTCTCTTCATTTCCTTCATTTCCTTCTTGTGAACCATCTTTATATCCCTGTTGGGCATCTGCAACGCCTGTGTGAAGCTGGACACAATACAAGCCACGTGAGAAGATTCAAGGGCAGGAGCCAGTGATTGAGAATGCCCAGCACAGGGCAGAGTGACTGGTGAGTCTCTGCTGGGCATCTCCCAGCTGATTCTTACCCCACCCGGGCAGCCAGTGTCCCGCTGGCGCTCTGTCTGGCTGTACGGCAGGAGTGACACAGGTATCCTGCCCAGCTGAAGCTGGCATCATTGTCTTTTAGAGCTCTAATGAAGCAACTCTTCCTCAGCCACAGACACACACACGGACACACGCACAGACACACGCACAGACATACACACACAGTCACACACACACAGACATACACACACAGACATACACACAGGCACACACACACAGACACACGCACAGACACACGCACAGACATACACACACAGTCACACACACACAGACATACACACACAGACACACGCACACACAGACATACACACAGACACACAGACACACACACAGACGCACAGACACACACAATCACACACACAGACATGCACACACAAGCACACACACACACACACACACACAGAGACGCACACACAAGCACATAGACGCAGACACAGACATGCACGCAGACACACACACAGATCCTCACTCCAGCGTGTCATCTGAGCAGAGCTTGGTGCCCAGACTGACAGCGCTAATTTGCCGCGGTACCTTGAGAAACGCAGACGAGAAGTGTTTCTCCTGTATCTCCCAGTGGGCTGGCTTGCTGACTCGTTGGAATCTGTCAGTACTCATTGTGACAGGACAGCAAGACAGGACAGTTGCTTTGTCTGCGAGCGGAGCGGGGAGGGAGTCTTTCTCGTGGTCCTTATCGATCGGTGTGATGTGTGATCAGGCAGAGTGCTGGGACAACTCCAAACACAAAGGTCCCTGTGATGACCTGGAGATTAGGTGGCGGCAGGGACGGGCCAGTGCACAGTGAACGTGTCTAATTGGTTGTGTTCTTGCGCCGAGCAGAGCTGTGGGCCCAGCAGAGGTTGACAAGGCGAGACTCTAGTCAAAGACATACCAGGACTGCAGCAGACTAACCTCTAGACAAGGTGTGTGAGTACTGGCACAGCCGTGAGCATGCTTCTCTCTGGGTACACTGAACAGGAGCTGGTGCTGAACATGAGCCCCCAGCCCCCCAGACAGGCAGAGCAGAACCTTCTGACACCTTACTGTCCACTGCAATCCCCCTGGTGCAGGACCACCCTGACCTGAGTCATGGGCTTCATCTTGATCATGATCTTGTGACTGGAAAGTGGGACTGGACAGTGGGATTGGAGATAAGGACTGGACAGTGGGACTGGACAGTGGGACTGGGCAGTGAGATTGGAAATAAGGACTGGACAAGTGGACTGGACAGTGGGACTGGACAGTGGGACCAGGCAGTGGGACTGGGCAGTGAGATTGGAGATAAGGACTGGACAGTGGGACTGGGCAGTGAGATTGGAAATAAGGACTGGACAAGCGGACTGGACATTGGGACTGGATAGTGGGACTGAGCAGTGAGATTGGAGATAAGGACTGGACAGTGGTGAGTTGGGCAGTGGGACTGGACAGTGGGACTGGACAGTGGGACCGGGCAGTGGGACTGGGCAGTGAGATTGGAGATAAGGACTGGACAGTGGTGAGCTGGGCAGCGGTACTGGACAGTAGGACTGGGCAGTGCTGAGCTGGGCAGTGGGACTGGATAGTGGGACTGGGCAGTGAGATTGGAGATAAGGACTGGACAGTGGTGAGCTGGGCAGTGGTACTGGACAGTGGTACTGGGCAGTGCTGAGCTGGGCAGTGGGACTGGGCAGTGGGACTGGGCTGGGAGGCAGATCCAGTCTCCACACAGGCAGAAGGGGCTGCAGCTCATCTCCGGGTTCGAGCCCTGGACTCCGACAGTATTGACACCTCCTGAAAGACCCGTGGCCCCAGGGCAGAGTTGGGGTTTAGGTCCTGGGACCCTGGCGCTGCCTGATCCATCCCCCCTGGCAGGTGGGGCCCGGCGGTCCCTGTCCAGCCACTGGCGGGCTTTCAGCTCGGCTGCTGGAGTCTCCGAATCCCCTCACTCCACCTGACTGAAGCTCTGCAGCTGTTCGGAGCTGGAAAACCGTGTTCTCAATTAGGCACCGAGTGGTGGGTTAGCCTGTTTCAGCCGACTGGCTCTTGTGCTCAGTCTGACTCACAGTCCGCAGGGGGGTGATCTGGAAATGCAGCGCAACGCGCTCGGCCCCGGAGCTTGCCTGCCTCATCCCCGTCAAATTCCTCCCAGGTCCCGTCTGGTTCCGCTCTGCCCCGCCTCCTCCTCCTCTTCCTCCCCCTTCTCTCCTCTATTCGCGTGTTCTTGTCGACCCCCCGCCCGCGCGCCAGGAAGCGCCCGTCTTCCTCGCGGACTCGGTTCGCTCTCGTGTTCGTCCGCGGAGCGCGGGACCCGCGCCCGGCGCCTCAGACAGAGGGGAGGTCTCCGTGCTTGCTTGATCGACACACACCCCCCCTCCCCTGCAGCAGCCCCTCACACTGCTCCGCAGGAAGGGAACTCATTAGCCCCCTGCAGTGCGGCCCGCGGCTCGGCAGCCCCCGGCCGGGCTCGGGCTGGGTTAGCTGGGCTACCGGGGGAACGGGTCCGAGGCGGTCTCTCTGAGCCACACCCCTGAAACTCCTGCTCTGCCGGCGCTTCTCCTGCAACTTTAGCGTCCGCGCGTCTGGTGGGGAAGGTCTCGCCGAGCCTCTGTCTCTCTCTCGTTCGTGCTGTTTTTCGGGGACCCTGCTTGTCTCGGAAGTAAGGGGACGAGCCGGCTCGGGCAGATTGGAGAGGAATGTGCGCAGTGGGTAAGAGCTCTTCATCACCTCTCCTCCTCCTCCAGTCTGTCCAGCGTCTTGTCCGTCTCGCTTGTCTTGTGTTGCTCTGCTCCGTACTGTGCACTGTGTCCTGTACTGCGTACCTCGGACCTCGGAGCTCGGACCTCTGCGGCAGTAAACACGAAGCAGCAGTAAGACAGCCCCGAGGGCAGCGCGCTGCGTTCCTCACAGCTCCGTCCGCTTCCCGGCACGCATCCCTCTGAGAAGCCGGGGTCACCCCGGGGAGCCGCCGCTCCCGGCTGCAGTGCGGGTCTGGATGTAGACTGGACCGGCACCGCTGCGCGTGCGGTTGGAGAGGGAATGTGGGGCGCGATTGAGGGTGACTCCCCTCAGTCTGGTTTGTGTGAGTGTGTCCGGGTGAAAGAAGAAACGCTGCTTTGGCTGTGTTGTATGTATTTAAAAAATCACCTCCGTCGTTTCTACTGACCCACACACATCTGTCCCGGGACCCGCTGGTCTGCCCCTGACCCTGACTGACCATCCGGCCGGACTCTGACGGCCACTGTCCAGCTGGGAGTCGGTGTCTGTCTAACCCTCCGGCTGAACAGACTGCTGGACAGCGGCGGACCGGGGATAACGGACAGTGTGGGGGTCAGTGCGGGTCAGTGCGGGTCTGTGCGGGGGGCAGTGCGGGCTCTGTGCGGGTCTGTGCGGGTCTGTGCGGGGGGCAGTGCGGCTCTGTGCGGGTCTGTGCGGGGGGCAGTGCGGGCTCTGTGCGGGG